ACACGATGATAACGACAACGAAAACTAGCACTACTGCTACTGCATGCATAATCAGCATGTGCTTGCTACGCACCATGCTGTTCCTGCGACGACGACGACGACGACGACTACTTCTACTACTTCTGCTACTCCCACTGCTGCTGCTGCTGCTACTACTACTACTACGACGACGACGACGACCACGACTGCTACTGCTACTGCTGCTGCTGCTGCCAACAGAGCAGGCTGATACAGGATCCGCGAATGCATGTTGTTAGCGGCAGCACCATCAAAGCAGAATTTATTCACAAAGAGAGCTTGCTTGTGTATGCATAAGCTTAAACGCAAAGGAACCTGAATTTCCCCGACCTTCCGAAGTTCCCCAAAGCTTGGTAGCCGGGGGCCCCGACTTCCTTGCGGACGGCCTGGACCGACTGCTGAGCAGATTTAATGATGGCTGCGACCTGCGCTGGGCGAGCCGTGTCAGGTCTAAACCGCTGTAGCCAGTCAATGCAGTCGAAGCGAAGTCATCATAGAGATGCTCATCGCGATGGTGAGGGTGAGGGTGGTGATGGTAATGCTGATCGTGACAGTGACGGTGGGGATGGCGGTGAACTTCATCGGCTTGATTGTCACAGGCACCATCATTCACCGTCAATCCCGATGAAATCTTTTTTGTAACAAATGCAACCTTAGAAGCCTTAAACCATGAATTTTGCTAACACGACGTCGTGCCTGTGTAGGGGAATAGCATTGCCGGGCTGTTTCCCAAATCCCTGGAGTGAAAAGCAAGCACATCTCCAAAGATGGTGGCAGGAATCAACAGGATGGCAATGAGAAACAATCCTTTTCATAACCTTAAGCATAAACGCACATCACCATGATAACCAGCATCGTCTCTGTCAGGTATCTTCTTCACTTTCCCTCGCTGCGAGGTGCGACGCTGCTTGCTGCTTTTCGGAACGCTCCGAGATGCAGGGCGCTCGCGGGTTTTGACCTGGAGGATGGACAACAACTGGTCTCGTTTCAGGGTCGGGAAACCCTGAACCCCTGTCCTTCAATGAAGGTCCAGACTCCAAACCTTGCCTTACAGCATGCCCCAACCTCAAATCCAGAAAAGAAGATAGGCCAGTAAAGAGCACTGTGCTTTCTATTCCAAGCTTGTTTCTAGCATTCGAAGTCCCGATCTGCCCTCGGCGAGCACCTTCTCCAGGCGACTGCCTTGTCGGACCCTTAGAGCGCCTGGACCTCGAGCTTCAGGTTGGGTTTTCGTGGCCCCTGGGGTTTGCGTATTCAGAAGAGCCCCTGGCTGCCGCAGGTTCCGGAGGGTCGTAGGGTCTTAGGGAATCCAGCATTTCACAGGCCTTTACTTCTGCGCAAGAGTATGCAATAGGCTCGTTGATGCAGTTGTGGCCTGTAACATTTGTGGTCGAAGGATTTGGGACGCAGGCCATGCCTGCATCCACGACGCAAGGCTCCCGCGCAAGCTACGGACTGCCCCGGAGAAACTGCTGCATCAGGCTCCGAGCACGGACCCATGCCCAGCCTCTAAACAACACTGAATAGTGCAGATCCCAGAAAAGACGGCACCAGATACAACCCAAGAAAAAGCGTTTGCCAAGCGACCATCTGTGCCGGTTGACGGTGCGACGAGCTCCTGGCTCTGCATGTGCTTCCGCCACGTTGTCGGACTGAAGGATTTGCTTGGGTTTCGCTGTGAACATACAAGCGCACAGGTCTCAGGCTCAGGCCCCTACATCATCAATGAGTGCCAGGACACTCATATCAAGCAAGATCGTTTGCGCAACTCGGATCCTTCGGCGGAGCTGCTGCACACCTCATGCGCTTCACCTCCCAATGGCGCAAGGCAGACGACCGCGACTGTTTCGGTTCGGCTTTTATTCAAACTGTGACTCGGGTTTCAAAACCCCTCCCCTGTCTCAAGAATCCTCATTGTCATCCCATCGCAGCGCACCCTAAAGGCCCTAAATTAAAGGCGCCACACACTAAGCGACCTTCGTCCCCTTGCTCACGGCCCTGCGCCGCTTCGGCGACACTGATGCCGCCGGCACAGCGTTACTTCGCAGGCCTCGGAGCGCAGGCTGCCCGAGTTCAGGGTGGCGGGTGTGGATGAGTTTGGAGGCAGGGTGCAGGAACGCGTAGGGTTGTTCAAGACTATGGCTTTGAGTTTCGCGAGCGGGAACTCCCAATGCTGCATCTCGGGGGATGCACAATCCATGCCAATCATGGTGCAACTGCCCGCTATGCGGCAAAAGGTCCATTCCCAAACCCCCGCTTTGCACCTAAAGGCGCAAACGTGAAACTTTGAATCTTCAGCCCTGAACAGCTACACCTGCGAAGCCCAAACATTCGGAGCGTCCGTGTGCCTGGAAAAGCTTTGGTGTATGGGGACTGGGGTTCAGCATTTAGGTAAAAATAATTTCAGTTATTTTAGTTTTAAGTTTTGGGGGTTCTAGGCTTCACACTGAAGACGTGAAGGGTTTGCGCTCTCACGCTGTGGGCAACTTTTGCAACCTCACATTAGTAACAACCAACGCGCGACCATCTCACCCTAGACCACAGGTGCGAAACCCTAAAAGCCCAAACCCGAACCTCGCAAGCCTAGGCCTAGGCCCTGAACGAAACAGAAAAACTGCCAGGCCAGCGGCGAAGCAAGTGAATCTCACAGCTGCCCACTCCAGCTCGCCGGAAGTCCTCGAGATTCGGAAGGGTGGATCTCGGACTTGGTGTTTGCTCCTAAGGGGTTCAGGGCTGGCTGTTTTGCCTCCCGCTGGGCTGGGTGGTTCGAGGGTTCCGGGCGGAAGGCTTCAAATGAAATTTGGACTTCAAGCGTGTAAGCTCTCACGTGTTGTGGCTGTTTCGTGCTATTTCACCCAAGAGCTGAGATCAGGTCTGCCCAGCCCTGCGCTAAGGGTTTTAGGCATTATAGGGTTTTAAATTGAAGTTTAGGGTTAAGTGACACGGTTAAGTGTAACGGAGTAACGTTTCCGGATAGAAAATGGTGCTCTAGGATGTTAGGGTTCTGACTTTTTGCGAGGCCCTAATACATCAAGCTTACCAAATCTAGAAGGGAAAGTTTTTACAGGAAGGTCTCGGAAAAGGTCAGGCTCTGTGAACCGATCCGGAAAACAGTCAGCACCATGATGCCGCACCTACACCCGGAAATGAGTCCTTACCTACTCAGACAACCCTGCAGGCCCAAATCGCAAGTCCCCCATACCCCAACTTTACACAGGCCCAAGATGGCCCAATCAGATATTCCTCAAAGAGCACCTGTGCTTTTCCCCCCAACACGCCAAACCCTCAAGCATGAAGCGCAAAACGGTGAAGCGCTGCCGAAACCCAGTTCCTGGAAGCTCCTGGATTCCTAACTCGCCCCCTTTGCCCACGCGGGCACCGGGTGGAGCTCCCCAGGCGCCAGCGCCGCGCGCTCGTAGCAGCTGTCGCAGAGTGCGAAGAATCGACCCTCGCCCTTGGCTTGGCCCTGGGCAGAGCCAAGTTAGGGTGCATCAGGGTCACGATTGTGCGGCATGCATTTTGCGTTCGGGGGTTTGGGTTGTGGAGCTAGGGGTTTCGGCCTGGCTGGTGTTTTCTCGTGCCAGATGAAACTCTTGGTTCAATGAGTCTTTGCAGTGTCTTCCGTGTTCAACATTCGGAAACACTCTCATTGTTAGATGCTTTGTGTCTGTGTGACTGCGACTGCGATATTTTGCTCTGACCGTAAATACTCGGCATTTAGGGTGTTGTTGCTCCGACCCAAGTTTCACCTTCTGCTGCCGTGTGCATTGCAACACACGTCATCTTGGCTTGGGCATGATAACTACATGGTGGACCATATATGGGAGTGGAGGTGGTGGTGGGTAGCGGCAGTCCGGACGGCCGGTGGGGGTAGTGGCGGAGTGATCACAACCACAATCACGAGTATGATGGCATTTTTGACTCGAAAACCCCCAGCATGAAGCTCAAGTCCAATGAAAGGTGCTGTTCTTGTGGCTACTACAGACTACAGCTATACCTATCCACACAGGTCGTTCCCCTTAAGCTCCTACCCCCCCCCCCCCCCCCCCAGCGGAGGACAGCCTCGCGAAAGCGCCTTACATTGCTGATGATGATCACCTCAGCTCTGAAGGAGCCGGGGATGATTGCCGGGTAGGCTATTTTCGCACCCGCCCAGCTGACCAAGTCACAGCGCAGGTTAGGATCTAGGGAATCTAGGGTCTTGGAGTCCGTTTTGAAGTGCTGAGGGCCGGCAACACGAGATTAGCATGAAAGCATAGGTGCATTCTACTTGCCAAGTGCCCTGAGCCTTTCAGCCTTTCAGCGGCCTCGTTTACGTGTATGAGCCGGCCCACTGTGTCCGGCTTCGAGAGCTTCAGCAGGGTGTCAAGCAGCTGACGCCCGAGAGCCTCTTTGGCCGAAGCATAGATCACCTTGCTGGATGATTAGGATGTTTTAGGCCTTGGGGAATAGGTAGGGTTTTTCCCTCCCACTTAACAAAAGGCCGAGGCTTTTTACCCTTTTTCACCCAAACATCAGAAAAGCCTGTGCAACCCTCAAGCAGAACACTGAACCAGCAACGTAAACCCCAAAACATCACCCTTGAACGGCAAACATTTCCAGAACCACACAAACCTAAACTGGTGCAGGGAAGTTAAAGCTTGTAAGGCCTAAGCCAGGATTTCCCTGCGGTCTGCAGGGGCAGGAACACCGTGTAACGTTCCTTGCCTCCCGCCTGGCAAGGACGAACGTACGGAAAAAGGGTACATTCAAACATTCTAGGATATGAACTGATATGAAGTTGTTGTCGGTGTTGCAGCTTCGTTTGGGGACAAGATCCCGAAGCGACCTGGAGGTGGAACAGCAGCCCGAACCTCAGGCAAGAAACCTGCAATCGCCGAGCAAGCTGAAAAGCAACAAACGCAGAAGGCAAAGCATAGTGGCATTTCTTTATTAGGCTAATTAATACCCCCATCCTTCCGACCCGTGCGACACCTTGACTGCTACGCCCCGCCCTTGAAACTGGCTGCATCTGCAGCGAGGAGGAAGTCCGGACGCTCGTCGAGGCCAATCTTGGAGAGGGGGTCCTGGCAAGGCTTTATTGATGCAACGGCAGTGTACGCGTTTTTTTTTCCCTCTCGCATGGCTAAGGATCAATGCCCACAAGCGAGGTAGAACTTGGTTCAATACGGCAACTGTACTACAGGATAAGGGTTGGGGCATGTTTGGGCTGTTTGGGCATTGGGATTTAGAGTTTAGGCTTTGGGAGGTTTGCTTGGGATGACTAGGGTTTGGGTCCAGGGTTTTGTCAAAGAAAACCTCTTGAGTCTCTTAGGCCTTCACCGGCATGAAGGGCTAGCTGTTCTCGGGAGTTCTGACTTAGAAGTTGGGGGCTTCGTACTCAAAGCCCTCGGAGACTTCAAACTTCAAGCCCGAAAGCGGCCACGTGCTGATATCGACTTCTTGAATACCTAGAGACCTAGAAGGCTTCAAAACATCACATGGTGATAGTGGTCAGAACCTGGCATCGACAACTTAAACACTTTTTAGCACTCGCGGTCCACACAATCTAAACATCCATGAGCTCGGCATGTTTTGCTCGCCTAACATCTGCCCTACTACGAACCCTGACCCCGCGTCTCTTTTTCACCTGGTGGCCATGACTTCTTTTGAAGACATGGCTACGTCATCGGCACAAGGCATTTTCCCGGAAGCGCCACTCCGGCCGCACCACTCAAACTGCCGCATATTAGCAACAACAAGCTGAGTAATGGAAAGAGCAATGATGTTTTTACCTACATACATACCTACATACATACATACATACATACATACATTCGTTCATACGTTGCTAAATGTGTACTTACCTACGTACATACGTACATGCATACCTACAGTGATGTGTTCTGCACAGCTTAACGGTGCGAACATCTGAACAACGGGTACAGTGCAGACACAACGCTACGGAAGAGCACATGGTCGCAGCCAGCCGCACTACGTATAATGCGATAGTGGCACAGGGGCTAATTTCAGCCCGTGCTTATACTAAACCTCCCGCTTTGCATGTGGCTTGCATGCGGTGGTGGTGTCATGTAACATTTTCATGCTAACAAGTTGGGGCAAAGACAGCAAGGTGCACGCGCACAGGGAAAACACAAGAGAGGGAGAGAGACAGAAAACAGCCCGTTTATTGTTTTCGTATCTTTTCGCGTATGTAATCTAGTTACATATATGTACACATATATACATGTACACATGCATATAAAGACAGATCTCACACACATACATATACATTTAATATATGTATATATGTACATATATGTACATATACATGGTGAAACCTATGTATGTATGTGTATATATATANNNGAGCCATCCCCCCCTTTCCCCCCCCCCCATTGATACATGCCAGCATGCATATACATATGTAGATGCAGGTAGCAGGAGTGGAACCGCCGCTAATCATGTTGGGATATGCTGATAGTAGCACATGGCACCTCAAAACCACACTAATCATTCGTCGGGATGTGCAAGGGCAATAGTCAGAGTAAGGGTGATGACACTCACCAGCAACTGTCAAGCGGCCATGGGTGATAGTTGAAATGATGGTGCTCCTTCCGGGCTGCCTCCTGAACACACACACACACACCTACCTCCAAACAACCTAATTACGTCGAAGGAGGAGTCCGTGGTTCAGGCGCAGCAAACAACTTGGGACCGGTCCCGATCTGGTGAATTGTGACAGAGCACATTCCCTCTGGCCGCTAGCCACCTGCGGCGCTAAAAGGGATGGGATGTGCTCAGGTTGCAAGGCTTGCTACACACACTGATCCGCAAACCAGAAACCTGTTTCCGGAAGATCGGACTCACCATGACGGCTGCGATAGGCCCGACTTGGGTCTTAGGGGCTTCTTGTCTGGCTCTAAACGAGGTCTCTGGGTTTGAGGTTTGATGGACATCAACAGAACCTCGGACCGCTTGGCTGAAGCCTCTGACCCTGCACTCCCTTCCAATTGTCGACAGCAGGGGCGATGCTCTGCAACACCGGCATGCGTGTCTGAAAATGGCCTCGCATTGAATTCGGATGTTGCCGGGATATGACCAGCGGACATCAATTTTAGCCCCATAACAACGACCACGTTAAATTCCGGTTTTCGATATCCGACCGCCATCTTTCGATGTCCGACAGACAGACAGATTGGACGAAGGGACGCACGGGCGGGCGGGCGGACGGACCACGGACGCACGGACGGACACACGGACGGAGGGACGAACGGACGGCCAGCCGGCCGGCCGGCCGGGCGGGGGGCAGGGGACGGACGGTTTTTCAATGTTCAATGCAGGGAGAAGGTTGGAGCCAATACGTCTGTCGATGTCAGGAAACGTTTGACATCTTTCGATGTTACGGAGTATTTTTTCGATGTTCGGGGTCTTTTGTCGATGTCCGGGCTCGCGACCCCTCTGCAATCGAATCCCATGTTAAAACGGTGAAACTGACCGAGGGCTGGCCATATGGGTTGGTTGGTATCAGAAAAAACGAAGGAGACTGCCCCCAAAGCCTCAAGTGTGCTTTTGATGCATGCGCTGCGTCACTCGTCAATGTCCTCCAGCTCGGGCTCAACATACTGCAAAGGCTTCTCTGGAAAGACGAAGTCGGACAAGTGAAGCCAGACCTGTGGAGGGTACGGTCATACAGGTTCAGAAGGCGTCAATAAGTGCTGTCGTTTAAAGGCGGATCTAACGGTGTAAGGCTGCAGTTTGGGCACTCGGACCGGGATGTGCACACACAGTACTAGACCAAGAACAAAGGTCTGAAAGAGGTGCTCGAGAAGAATGTGAGCAACGCGGGCTCTCTTGCCATAGACGGCCATCTGTTCTTCGGATATGTTCAACTTGCATCTGTTCAACAAAACTTTGGAGCTGAACTTCTGCCGCTTCTTCTCGAACGGACAAGGATGCTTGTCAAGCTGATGAGTCAGGTATTGCCAAAAACTCCATGGCTTCTTCTGTACATGGCCGGAAAAGGCCTTAAACCCCAGTAAGCCCCTAGAATCCCTAGAACCCCAAAAAGCAGTCCAAACTTCCAAACCCTGAAGGCGCAGTCGGAGACCCTGCGGAGACCCGGAGCTGCCTTCGACGCGCCGTGCACTTTGAGATTGGCCTTGTTTGCCTGCATATACCTCCCGGGCTGGTCCATCACCCGGAACCTTTGGCAGGGTCTTCGGGTCGGCTTGGTGGCTTCGTCTTTCTGTAAGAGGTTCGGTGCCTCTGGCCTGATGAAATTCGGTTAGGACCTAGGAGTTCAGGACTCACATCACGCTGCCCTGTGGCACACGGCTCGCTTGCACCTTCATCTGATGCCCAAATTCCTCTGCAGCCCCCCTTGTGACTGCCCAGGAGCCAAACCGGCTTGTGGAAGTGTTTGGGCTCCAAGTCCGGATCCTTTGCTGCCTTCTCACCGTAGCGCCGCACTCGAGAACGCACCTGTCACTCAAGTCGCCCAGAGTGATCAAATGCGATATGCGATACTCCGAAAAGCCCAAGAAGCCCATCATTCGGGAGGGTGCTTACTGTTTTGACCCCGCACGGAGCTTTTGGAAACTACTGACAAATGGGCACATCCAGGAGACCAAGTAAACAGATTTCGAAGCTCGAAGCTTCTGCCCGGAGAAGCAAAACTGCAATCATAGCAGGTGTGCAAAAAATCGCTGAACCAACGAGGCAATCAAACGAAGGCGCTATGCCAGGATCCTGAATGCCCGGGGAGGGGGGGGGGGGGGTTGCAAACATGTGCAGGCACATAGCTTCCGTTCCCAAGACCCGGGTCACCCTTCATGGCCACAGGCGGTTTCCAAAGAAATTAAATACGCTTAAGATGTCATAAGCTACTGGGACACCACGAGCCTGTTAAGAGCAGATCGGAGACTTCTACAAGCCAATGTAGGGAAACACGAGTGAGGGTCACTGGAGCACTTACCACTTGCAGTGTTGTGGTTTCTCACGGAATCTCAGCTGAGTCTATGCTGCCACCATCTGCCACCAACTGTGACCAATATCAACAAAATCCGACGAAAGCATCATCCTTTCCATGACCTTGCACGCTCTCGTCTTTGCCGGTCTTTGCAAAACTTCGCATGGAAGCTCCAACTGTTTGACACTGCACATAAACCAATAAGGGACCAGTGCGGCCCATACTGTAGGCAGCAATTAAAGTTGAGGTCAAGTCATGTTAGCGTTCAGGTGCTTGCCTTTCTGGGCCTTTGCATGCCGCCTGGAAGTTGGTCCATGTGTTCAGGACTTGGTTGTGAGTGTGAGGCTTCGGGTTTCCGGTTTAGGATCCAAGTTAAGGTCGGTGGGCCCAGACTATCCATGCGCGCGCACCCATAGAAGCGGGAATAGACCACCGACCCAAAGCCCCGAGCAGCAGGAGCTTCGCGCTGAAGGCCCGAAACATGCGTAAACCCCCACGAAACACCAACAGAGACTGCAAACGACTTATGAAGTCAAGAAGCTGACTCCCAGTCGGTGGGGCGGATAAACTTTCGGAGGCTTGGCATGTCCGGATCGTCTGCTGAAGCCGCCTGGCAGCATACTGTGTATCGGGTTTGTGAGCAGAATGGAGCAGAGGTCTGCCCTGAGCTTCGGCAGTTGATGTGAACATCGATGACAGCGCCAACCGCCCGAAACAGGCTGCCCAGTTTTGGCCAGGACCCGTGCACACGCCCCTTCGAGCCACCTGTTGCAACATGACCTTGCCATGACCATGACCAGGACCCCACAAGGACAAGGTGGTCCTAGTTCCATTTGCCCTGTGAGGCCATTCCGCCCAACGGTCTGCAGGGCCCGAGCTGTGCCGAAATGAAGGCTTGCTGCGGCCCCTGAAGCAAGTTCCCGGAGGCCATGGTGTGACAAAGGAGAACAGTCTTCCTGCAATGGGGAAGTGGTCCTGAGCTACAGGCATGGGGCTATAGGATATAGGGAGATGATGCTCACCATATCACCCAACCTAAGGGCGCCTTGTAGTTCAGATGTACTTGGCAGACATCCTGGTGTTCCCGCTTGGCTTCCACCAAGAGCATCCTCGAAA